GTCCTCTTCCCTGCCACGGCAGGGGGTCGGACTAGATGATCTCCTCAGGTCCCTTCCGACCCTACCAACTATGAAACTGCTCCCTGCCCTCTGGTGAATTCACTTTGCCCCATAACTTGGTATCATACGCGAACTTGGAGGGGGTGCTCACCACACCCTCATCCAAATCACTGATGAAGATATTTAATAACACTGGTCCAAGGACCGAACCCTGCAGGACTCCACTGCCCACCTCCTTCTAGGCCGAGAATGACCCGTCAATCACCACTGTCTGGGTGCAGTCCCTAATCCAGTTAGCCACCCACCTGACTGTGTAGGCATCTACTCCACAGCCTGCTAGCTTCCCTATGAGAATAGGATACAAAACTGTGTCAAAGGCCTTCCTAAAATCCAGGTAGATGACATCGGCCTCCGCTCCTGTGTCAAGGCAGTATGTGACCTGGTCATAAAAAGCTACAAGGTTTGTCAGGCAGGATCTACCTGTGACGAACTCATGCTGGTTTCCTTTCAGCATCGTTTCCCCTGCTGGGCCTTCACAAATATGCTCTTTGATGATTTTTTCTAGTATTTTCCCAGGGATAGAAGTAAGAATGACTGGCCTAAAGTTACCTGGCTCCTCCCTTCTCCCCTTCTTAAAGATGGGCACCACGCTGGCCTTTTTCCAGTCCTCAGGGACCTGTCTGGAGTGCCATGAGAGCTCAAACGGCCATGTCAGAGGATCAGCAATGACACTGGCCAATTTCTTTAGCATCCATGGATGGAGGGCATCCAGGCCAGCTGACTTGTACCCATCCAGCCCTTCCAAGTGCTCTTTAACTAGATTTTTCAAATTAAAAGGAAAAAAAACCACTAGACACCTGGCAACCCCTGATGGGATGGCTGATATCACCCCAGGTACATAGGAAGAGGGAGCTAGGGGAACCCTAGGGAGGGCATATCTGTATGAGACTTTACAGCAGTTGCCTAATTAGCTCTGCAGTAAAGTCTCTGTGTCTACACATACAGCCCTATTAGGTCTCGGTAAACAAATAAACACTGCCGTAGTTTAGTACTTGTAAATACAAGTACTATCCTGCAGCAGCATTATTTACTGCACAGCAATGCACATGTTGATGTTGATGGGTCTGGCTGGGGCATGAGGGTGCTTCAGTGTGGGAGCTGGTTGCCAGACAGCCCTACAATGAAGCACCCTCATGCCCCAGCCAGCCGCTCTGCAGGACAATGAGTCAGGTCAGAACAGCCCCAGGCTGCCAGACTGACTCCCCTCCCTTCCCCACACAGACCCCACTGCCAGTCAGGCTGCTCTGACCCAGCTCAACATGCTGCAGTCCCAGGTACATATGTAAACATGGCACTCAGGAGCAATAAACTCTGGTGTGATATTGTGCTGTAGTTTATTGCTTTGCATTAATTGCATGTGTAGATGTACTCATAAAGTACTATATAA